CACCAGCAACTTACAGTGTGGCAGGATATGAAGCACTTAGGACTTTATCCAGTGGTGGGATTCAAACATGTGAACAACCAGTTCTCTGTGTGGATGCCACTTCTGGATGTCCCTTCTAGGCCTGGGCAACAAAAAACTAGCTACCGGTTCTGCCAAACTGGTGCGAACCGGCTGAATCCCACCACTGACTTTATCTATTGTGGCACTGCCTGTAAAGATAATCTCACCATATTTACAGTTTAGAACTGGGAAAAACTCACAAAGAATCTCATGAAAAAACATGTTTCCAGCTGACTCCATTTTCACTTTCAGGCAGAATGCATAATTTGAGAATAGACTGGAGAAGCAGATAAGATTTTGAATCCTGTTTCTGATCTAAGGATTTTGCTTCTCTTCAAACAAACTATCTGCATGATAGTTTGTTTGAAGAGAAGGAGGCTGCATGAATAAGTATCTATGAATATATATTTGTGTGTCTAGTAACAGTCATGCATGGTTTAGAGAAGAGAAGAAGTGAAATTTTAATAAGGTCTTTGTACGGCAATATCCCTGGATAGGAAGCACAACTACACAAACATGTAAATTATTATTGGAAACTGTCTAGATAATCCATAGGTGCTGGAAAGGAATAATATTAACATATTACGAGAGTAAGAACCAAGACCAGATAGTTATCTTTTGTTGCTGCTGTTGCTGTGGTTGTTTTTACAGAAGATGAAAAAATAAAAATTATATTAAGGTGAAACATCCCTAAAAATTAACATTATGAAGATGGCAAAATTAATCAAAAGAGTAAGATTCCAAATGGATCAATTCACCCCAGAAGTATTGTGAAATAAGATCAGAACATAAACACATTTGGAAAAAAGATGTATTTATTCCAACACAAATAATCTTTGTGTATATGTTTATTCCCATAGAAGTAGATTTCTAAATATGACCTTGTTTTTTAAGGTAATCTCTATATAACACTTTGAAGCACATAATTAATTTGTAATTGAACTTGTATTTAAAAAAAAATAAGAAAAAGAAAAGTTTTCAGAGAAAGATTAATAATAAGAATTAAATCTTAGGGCCATTCTAAGAAACCTGTATAGACCTCAGTCAAGTCCACTAATGTCTATACAATTATTAGAAAACAATATATTGTTAGAGTGCAGGAATAGTCTGATTAAACATTCATCTTATCTGAAATGTAATACTTAGAACTGGACAGATATTTCTCCGATTATTTTGCATTTAGTGTCATAGAATATATATGAGAATAAAATATAGGCAAATACCAGGGCTTTAACTCTGTTTTTTCAGATACATTTTTTAGGGATTTTATATAGGTCAAAGGGGGAAAATCTGACCTCATCTTCTTCCATGACATTATTTATTTTATTCATTATGAATTTACTTCCTCTTCTTCCAGGGCTGTTTTGAAGGATATATATTGTAGGCAATATATCAGAAGAATTCAAGAAGAGCTGAGGCATAGCTACTTACTTTAAAAACAAAAGGAAGATTTTTGGCAAAGAGGAAAACCAGAAAGGATTAGGACACTAAATGGCTGGAGAACCATCAATGGTGATTTTTTTTAAAAAAAAATTGCATTACCAGGTTTGAGAGCAGTGATGAAAGGAATCAATATATTGGAAAGCTAGATTTGAAAGCAAATAGCTAGCAAAGAAACATACCATTGCTAAAGCCAGCATAACAATTTTATCTGCAATGCTGGGAAAGGTGATCAACTTAAGTCCAAAATCTCTAGAGAATTTGTAGAAGTCTGGCACTCAGAGTAGCCAGCTATCAACAGGCACATAGAAATAAACAACATCTACATGCCATTCAAAAAAGAGAGAATCCAAAAGCCAAAAGACCACAACACCTTGTCAGTAATCAGCATTAGATAAGAAGAGATTAACACCAAGATTTATACTAGACCAATAATCAAACAGTATACATTACCCTAATCAAGGAATTACCAGCTCAGACAAACAAGCTAACAATACACACCAGCCTAATCAAGGAAGTACCCAAACCGCTCCCACCAACACCGACAGGGCAAGCCACTAGTACATAAACACAGAGAAAAATGTGGGTAATGAAACATCTGCAAGAAAACAACCAAGCTCAGAGAGCCCCAAGGGTTCCACACAGTGAATTCATACCATAACTAAACAAGAAGGAAAGCTACTGTCAATGAGGTAGGGATAGCCTCCTCCTCCTCCTCCTCCTCCTCCTCCTCCTCCTCCTCCTCCTCCTCCTCCTCCTCCTCCTCCTCCTCCTCCTCCTTGACAGTACTCGCTCTCAGAATACTGGAGTGCCTTAATTCTTTCAGAATATTGTTCCCTCTAGCACCTTAGCTCATAATGCCATCCAATAAGGAAGAAGAGGATGGAAACCTCCATAGCATCCATCTCCTTATTGGATACTATGATCTTGAATTGGAAGAGTAGACTCTTCACTGGGTAGAATGGTGCACAAGAGGCATATCATTTGAATACAGGGAACAGAACCTGTCTAGGCCACTTAACAAGGGAATATATTTAGTGCTAGTGCTATTTAGTGAATATATTTAGATGGGGGCTTCAGTCATTGACTATAACAATGACATCTTTCAGGTCTTTTTCAGCCTTGATTTGGCAGCCCTAATTTTTGTTTCCAGATTGGTTTTGGAAAATTTCCTCCAGAATCTTGATATATGGATAAAGGCTATATTTCAGAGAGCAGTACCTGTTGCAGAACATTGTTTAAGAGAACATTTTGTAGAAATGACTTATGGATCATTTTTTAGGAATATCTTTTAAGTCTCTTCAGAAATAGTTCAATAGTTACAGTATTGATGGTTCAACAAAATCATTGATCAATAAAAGCAAATATTCATTCACTAGTAACTGGGAAGTCATTTTTAAGAAACTCTTTGGAGATTAAAAAGGTAGAATTTGCCTGCCTGGTCTTTATCTTTCTCATTCCTGTTTCTAAAGACAGTTAGCTTAAGAAGAGCTTGTATGAAGTCAAAAATTCAGGCTCTTTTATAATGTGTTTGGGAATCAACTTATATCTCTTTCCTTTGCCACTTCTGCTTGACTAAAATGGAAATCAAAAGCTGCTAACTCTTATGCTGAGGCACTTCCAAAATTGAAAATGATTTCTAATAGGTATTCCTGTGCCGCCAAAATGATTTAGCATAATGCACTGAATGAGACTGCTAAGTCAAAATATCTTTTCCTAAGTGATTTTCTTGCTGTGTCTCTGAATGTCAGAGGGAAAGAAGAGGACATCGCCTGCTGAATATCATTGTCGGTTTAAAAGTTTTACACTGAATAATTCATCCTTAGGAAAGGATAAGCTTTTCTTCCATGCATAAGACAGAAAGACTCAGCAATACTAATCATGTTACACTAAAGATTTGCACTGGCCTTTCTTTGATGCCACTTTGGCTGCTAAAGCATAGCAATCCATTATTCTGTTGTTTTCCACCATCTGCATTGATATCAGCAGACCAGTGTTGATCTCATGGGTGAACCCCCACTAATTCTTTCAATAGCTAGACCAAGAGCTATAACGTTTGAGGTGTAGTAGGAATAGGCCAAGTTTTGTTGCCATACCCTCATATTCCATTGCACTAACTGTGGGATTCCTGGTGCTCTCTGAGCTTGGTTGTTTTCTTGCAGACATTTCATTACCCAACTAGTAACATCATCAGTATTAGAAGGGAGTGAGATTTGGTCACTCTTAATCAGGAGTCTTTAAACTTGGCCCTTTTATGATTTATGAACTTCAACTTCCAGAATTCCTCAGCCAGCATGCCTGGCTGAGGAATTCTGAGAGTTGAAGTCCACAAGTCATAAAAGGGTCAAGTTTGAAGCCCCCTGCTCTTAATATACAGGTGACTTGCCCTGTAAGTGTTGGTGGAGATGGTCTTGATGGTTTCTTGATTAGGTTGTTCTGTATTATTTGATCATTTATCTTTGTTGATTGTTCCTTGAGTGGGTTATTGTTCAGGGCATGTGATTGGTAGATTGATCATATTGTAAGCAATATGCCAATTAAGGAACTGCCAGCTCAGGCAAACAATGAAATAATCACCAACAGCCTGATCTAGGAAGCACCAAAAACACTCCCATCAACATTGATAGGGCAAGCCACTTGTACATCAACAGAAAGCAAATTCCACTTCCTTCTAGCACTGATGATGTTACCTAGTGGGGTAATGAAACATCTGAAAAAAACCAACCAAGCTCAGAAAGCACCAAGGATCCCACAGTTCAACCCTGAGCTACAAATATTCTCTTCTGTTGGTGACTGTTGACTCTTAGTTAGTTAGATACTAGTTCAACACAGGAAAAGAATAGCGTCCTCCACTTCATGATACAAGTCTGTTAGTGGGCCAAAACAGTCTAAATGGCATATAGTATATAGCTCTATCCTCGACCTGTGGGTGGATGCTAATATGTTCTGGGAAGAACAGTAAAAAATCATGTTACTATAACTCCCAATATCTGCCATCTGAAATGCCTAATAGCTGTGATACTCTGAGGTTCTGATCCCATTATGGACACAGCTGTCATCAACAGTCACTGCATCATAGTGAAGAATGGTTATCAGTTCAGGACATGTGACCACAAGGTGTTTCACAGAGCATTCCTTTAAAACAAAACAAAACAAATTGACTCCAATTTTTGGCCATTCTAGAACATGCTACAAATTCCATAAGATTGTTACTAAAAGTTACCAACCAGCTGGATCAGCCCCGAAATGTGAAGCAGTGCTGGAATGACAGTTGCTCAGATAAAGTATTTATCTTAATTCTGTTTATAATGTGACAAAATTGAATTAATGCCTTTGTGAACCAATTATTTGAAATTCTCTCTTTGAAGATGCAGTTTTCAGATTATAGACAGCGGCAAATTGGCATGGTTTCAGGTTAGTGGATTATTTGTTTGTGTGCATGGGTTAAATCTAAATACTCGGGTTAAAAGAAAAGGTTCAGCTCTTCAGCTCAGTCTTACCTCATCGTAGATGTTGTCATTTCTGTCAAAATCCCCTGGCTTTCTTGGAAGTATATGGACATGAACGTGCTAAAAAAATGGAATTAAATTCAAGGTTAACCAGAAGCTTTTAATACATCAGATTTTTTTTTAAAGTTCTCAAATTCTTTCATGTGGTGTTTTATTGTTTTTAATGATCCCTTTTGTAAAGCTTATCTTTATTTGTCATCTTAATCTAAGGAAGCATCTTGTGGGAGCCCAAAAGGCAGTTCATACATTTTAAATAACTTAAACTACGGCCCAGAGACTTAAGTAAATACAAATAGTCTATCTTCTGAAATGTATGGAGCACAGAGAAAACTCCACGGTGATGGGGGATTTTGAGACAATGCTGAAAAGTGCTGGGGAATTGCAAGATGCCATTCTGCATTTCAATTGTTATTGAAATGGCAGACTATCACCTAGCTGTCAAGTTAAAATGATAAGTATAACTTTTTTCCAAACTAGATCTTTATAAACTCATTTAACTGAGAATGGTGTAGTCTACCAGAACAACATTTCTCATTTTGGATTTTAAAGAGACTCTGCACTTATCAGCCTAAGCCAAGGTTCACCAATTCCCACTTTAGATGTTTACAAATAAGTGATGCAGACACCCACCCACCCCAACTTATCTATCACACTCGACACAGAACAGCAAGTGGATGGAAACAAGCAAGAGGATGAATCATTATTATTGTTATTAATGTTGTATGCTGTCAAATCTTCACACTGCACAGTGACTTACAAAAACATATTATATACCATTATAATTTCCTCAAAGGATCTGGATCATACAGCAAACAACAAAAATAACAACCATATATATATATATATATATAAAATCAACAACTAATGACATGATCATTATGGAGAAAAATCAGCTAATGCAGTTCTTAAAAATCAACACTGATTTAATTGCAATAATCAATCAATCATGGCAAGACTCTCTAGCAAAGGGCCCTACAGTATTCTTCCAGACATATCCAAATAGAGATCATTGCCTAGTTGAATGCCTATATCTAGAGGTGCCTGGTGGAGAACATGGGAGTGAAATCTAAGGAAAAATGAGTTTACCACAATGGCACTAGGAGGACCCACAATGAAGTGCATATTGGGGAAAAGGAAGTTCTGCTTACTAGAGCTGTGCAAACAGTTGAAAAAACTCTTTGCAAAATTCATTGGTCCATGAGTATTACATCTCCTTGAAGCATTGAAAGGATTGAGTTCTCCTAAGATCAATACACCTGCTCCAAATGCTTGCCCCAGTTGTCTGCATGTGCCCATCCAGGCACAACAAATTTGCTGGCAATCCCAGCACAACTATTGTCTATGAGTATGCATAATGCTCACTGGTGTTAAAGCAGCCAAACCAAGCTTTCCAGAAGATACAAAGACTTTGATCTTTCAAGAAGAAACTTTAGTCATTTCTTTCAATGCGCTTGGGAAGTTCTCCTTTTCAATGTCTTGAAAGTCCTATTATTCAAGACAGCTGATTCAAATGACAATAAAACTTAAACTCTGATTAGAAAACTCAATCACAAAATATAATATGTTGTGTTCCATATTATAAACCATAGCAGGGCTTAATATTATGGCCTGGCTTATATAAAATGTTGAAATAATGATGGTTTCCCACAATACACTGGATCTCAAATGACCCAATCACAGTTTTGTGTAATCTATCTAGACATTTTTTTCCCATTTTTTGAAGATGGGAACTACATCTTTTCCAGTCCTCTGGTAGTTCCCCGGTGCTCCAGGATCTTTGGAAAATATAGTTCAGTTGTTCTGAGATCACATCTGCCAGTTCCTTCAGAACCTTGGGGTGTAATCCATCTGGTCCTGATGATTTGAACTCATCTAGGGTGAACAAGTGCTCACTTACTGATTTCTTGCCTATCTTAACTTGTGTTTCTAATCTGTTTTTTATGGTACTATTTTTGACAGGTTGGGCTGTTTTTTGCCTTTGGGTAAAGATGGATGCAAAAAACAAGTTAAGTAGTTCTGCTTTCTCCCTGTTGCTTGTCATCTTCTTGCCACTTTCTCCCACTAATGGACCAATCATTTTCTTAACTTTTTTCTTGTTTTCTACAAGTTGAAAGAAGCTTTTTATTATTATTTTTGACTTTTGTTGCAAATCTTAGTTCATTTTGAGCCTTAGCTTTCCTAACTTCATCTTTGCAGGCTCAGGCTATTTGTTGATATTCTGCCTTAGTTATGTGCCTCTCTTTCCACTTTTCAATTTATCAGAATTCTTTATGCAGCCATGCTGGTTTCTTTTGAGAACTGTTATTTTTCTTCTTTTTTGGCATTGTGCTAGACTGGGCTTTTATAATCTCACTTTTCAAAATTTCCCAAGCTTCTTGAGTTGTTTTCCCCTTGAGGATTCTCATCCATGGAATGCTTCCCAAGCTTCCTCTAAGTTTATTGAAATTAGCTCTCTTAAAGTCCAAGACTCTAGTTTGACTGTATTCTATTGCTTGTGCTTGCATAATGTTGAATTCCAATATTGCATGATCACTCCCCACCGCCCAAGGTTCCTGTGGCTTCAACACCTTCTATCTTTTCATCTCTGTTACTGAGAATTAGGTCCAATATGGCTGATCCCCTAGTTCCGTTCTCTACTTTTTGGGAGACAAAGTTGTCTGCTAGGTTTGTCAGGAATCTGTTTGATCTTCCACTTGCTGCAGAGTTTGTCTCCCAGTTGATGTCAGGGTAATTAAAGTCCTTCATTACTATTGTGATATGATTCCTACATACCTTAGTTAACTGACTAGCAAAAAGTTCATGTATTTCCTCTGTTTGGTTGGGTGGCCTATAGTATACACCTATGGCAATGTCTCCCCCCCCCTTTTATATTGATCCAAATGCATTCAAGACAGTTTTCATCATTGTTGTGCTCTATTTCTGTAGAGATGTAGTTATTTCTTATATAGAGAGAAACTCCACCTCCTCTTTTATTTGGTCTGTTTCTTTTAAATAATTTAAATCCCTCTAGCTGTGTGTTCCATTTGTGGGTTTCATCCCACCAAGTTTCTGTAATGGCAGCAATTTCATATCTGCCCTCATATACCTGAATTTCTAGTTCACCCTGTTTATTGCTCATACTCTGTGCTTATGTGTGGGTGTTTTATTCTAGGTTTGTCTGTCTCTGTATCCATGTGTGCACCTGGATAAGATATGTGTCTATTAGCCCCTAATGTAGAAAATGAATTATTTGTTTTAAAATGCACATACAAAAATATTATAAGCACATAAAACACAAGCACAAATGCAAGGCACACAAAAAGGGACACACTACAGTGGTAAAAATTATTAAAACCAATTGCAAGATACGTTGTGACAGTTTTTTTTAAAAAAAACAAAGCACAGAAAAAAAGATACTGAAATAAGCCTCAGATAAAATAAATATCTGCATGTATGTACAAAAAAAATTGCCCAAAGCAAAATGAAGAAATTACTAATCAAGATTATTGGGCAATAAATCTCGCAGCTTATATACACAACAATAAAATAAAAGTAGGAAAATGAAATTTTGGCTTCAGCTGCCAACTATGTTTTTTTTTTTCTTCAATCATGTCTGATGCCTGGAGATTTTTTTGGAAAGGCTTTTTCAGAAGTGGTTTGCCATTACTTCCTTCCTAGGGCTGAGAAAAAATCATTGTTTCAAGTCACCCAGCTGATGTGCCTTAGAACTGCCACTATCCCAGTTTATAGCCTGATATATTTGGAGGCAAAATAAATTTCAGAAATACTTTCCATGTGTGAAGCCAAAATGTAGTTGCTACTAAGCCTGTAAAAATACTGTATACTCCAAATTAATTCAAACAACTCAGGGTATTAAATTGATTTGGATTGTTTGGACTTTTTCTATGTACACATACTATATGTGTATTCAATGACCAAACTATACCAGGTCTTAGCAAATTTCTATCTGAATTGATATGTTCACAATGAAGTGGATTAATTTAGTGAAATGATGGGTGTATTCAGATTGAATCTGGCCTGATTTGCATATTACCCCATCTCAAAAAAAAAAAAAAAAGGCATTTCTGTTCTAGATTATATCTTTCTCCTTGTTCTTGGCTGAATGAATCACCATCCCTGCCACCGGTTTGCAAACCAGAAAAACAACAAGGTGCTATTTGTATCTGAATCAACATACCCTAATTTTCCAAATATTATTTTCTAGCTGTTCTTCAGGCTGAAGGCCACAGGGGGCTGTGTATGTATCAATAAAATTCAGAGTTATCTAATGCCTGCCCCAGCTGGGCTAAGATCAGCTTATGAAGGCCATTGGCTCATTGGACTACAAATTGGAACCAATAATTGAAATTTGTTTGTTTGTTTTTCCAAATTTTCTCAGAAAAGTAATATTTTATCTTTTGTTATGATCATTACTGTCTACACTGTTTGGTACAACTGTGGTAAAAATTGCCAAATGAAAGTAAAGGCGCTCTTTTTGTTTTAAAGTTAAAAACGATTCTTTTGAGTAATACATCAGCGATAGTGCTCTGACCGTGTATTATACTAATACATCACAAGAGCGATAGTGCTCTTATGATGTATTAGTGTAATACATCATCCCGGCCTCATTGCCCTGATGATATATTGCTCAAAACCACAATGTGAGCTTAAAAGCCACTCGTTGGTACCCTTGGGCCCTCATCTACACACTCACTTGGAAAATTAAAGATTCATTGAAGAAAAATAGAAGATTAAGCAATGCTTATATATTGATTGTAAAAGTGGTAGTAAAATTAAAAGCTACTAAGAAACCCTTAGTTTATCATTTGGCCCCTACATTACATGATTAATTGGAGTTTCTTCTTTGGATAGCTAGGCTTCAGTTGTTTAACTTTTAATTGAAATCTATGATATTAAAGGTCATATGTGCATATTGTTTAAGTTGTTCCTGTCAAGCAGCTTCAAAATGTTCTGTTTGGATTCATACACACATGGACACACACACACAAACACAACAGACTTCAACTCTGTTCACCTTTAGGAAAGCTGTAAAGACCTGGTTCTCCCCCCAAATATTAGAG